GACACATTTAGCAATATATAAATAGGTTTTACCCTTTTAACTGGCACAAAAACTGGCACCTTTATTCAATGTATCATGTTTGCAATAACCACAACACAAGCAGTCAAAATGCAAACAAAAGAGACAACTCTGATAATAATATGCACTGTCCTTGAATTTGATTGGTCCACAGCCGAGACGGCTTTTCTTAGAGCCTAGTCTCCACTGGTGTTGGACCAGAAGACGCCAAAAGGCGTACAATTATTACTATTATTATCAGAGTTGTCTCTTTTGTTTGCATTTTGACTGCTTGTGTTGTGGTTATTGCAAACATGATGCCTTGAATAATGGTGTCAGTTTTTGTGCCAGTTAAAAGGGTAAAACCTATTTATATATCTTGTTACTGGCAAAGGAGGTCTCATAACATTTAGCAATAATTAAACTGGAATCTGTGCATTGTATTCTCTCGACTTGAAGAATCGTTCAGCCATGCAAATGCTTGCCCACACCACTGTTGGCAGACGTTCGTCCAAAGTAAACTCTAAGAGAGCTTCTGTTGGGGATAATATGGCCTGTTCGTGCATGCTGGTCGGATGTATGTAATTATGTATCTTGAACTTCTTTCGCACCGTACGTGGCCAACCGTGTTAATTGGAGATGAAGAGGTGGGGGTACCCACACTTTATCCTACTTCACGAACTCTGCCAATCGACTGCTTGTGCTGTATACCTAGTTATACTGCTGGGAGCGCAGGTGCAGGTGATTTGAGAAACTTGCACAACCGTTTAAACTGCCACACGGGGAGATCGACTGGCGAGCTCTGGATTTTAAGCCCAGAGTGCTGCTAACCTTTGTGACCACGCCAGTATTCTACAAGCTGAACCAATGAATAATTGCTCACAGTTCACAAATATACTTTATATGGCGCTGCACCAACATGCACTCTACATTGTGTGGAAGACTGGACACCTTGCCCTTAGCGACAAGACATATATCTCACTCTGACAAAAACAGGTTTAACAATGATAGGTAGCACAATAGAAGAGGGAATGGAACATTCATATTATACTTGTAGGTAGCAACATAAGTATATAACTAGCAGATGACAAGTTTGTGAATTATAAAATCAAAATTTTTGCCACACTTTGTGATAAAAAAAAATGAAACGCACTTGGAATCTAAAAATTATGTACAAGTGTACACAAAAAATAAACTATAATTACAGTTACCCAGGTCTCCTTTGCAAGACGGATATACAAAAAAAATCTCAAATGGAGCTTACCTGAATGTATTCCATTTCGTAACGTTACCACTTTTAAAATAAATATTTTATAAGTTTGTTATGAGGTCAGCAACACGAGTTCAAATCGTACCCATAGCTGACTCAGTGACAAGTGGTGGCTGAAAAAGTTCTGGGCCCTCCTCAACACCAACTCGCTCTGACCAGCGCGGTGAGGTATGGACAAACAACCCTCACTGCAGACTAGGCTGAGACGCAGTCATCCAGAAGCAGATGAAGCACAGCTGTAAATTTTGTATTTATTTATTTTATTACAAATGGGCTCATGCAACGTCTGATAAACATATGTACTTTTCTGCCTCTGTAAGGACTGCACTGAATATCAAACATTGCATTTCAGTAGCTCATTATAACGCATAACAAACTAACATTTTAAATATAGATGAAGCATTTGCAAAACAAAAGTGCATGTGAAATAATGTACGCAATTCATCTGAATCGTCTTTCAGATATTTCACATACTGTGTGTATTTCTGGCAATGCCACCACTCTTAACTAATTACCATAATGGCAGGGCAAATGAAATAGTGCAGTCTGTTTCATCAGTACAAGATGAATATCAAATGCACAATGTGGTTAGAGTAGGACAATTGAACTGAAGCTTAAATTGTGTCCTGAAAAAGTTGTATTTCCTTGTAACGGGAAATTTGCGCAATTTCATTGTATATCTATCAATACAATTGCTTGAAGAAGTACAACAAACTCAACTCCACATTTCTTATAAAGCTATTAAAGTAATAAGAAATAGCCACAATCTCTCAAAAGTATACACAACCAATGACATCCTAGACATAGTGCTAGCAATGGGTAAAATACTTTGTGTGCAAACTAAGATTTGTGTTTCTTCCACGGTAATTTTGTTCTTGGTTACTAAGATTGCCTCATTGACTTTACTTAATGTTAGTAGCATCACTGAATCAATTGTTCTATCATAGCTTGCTACTGGATTCTTAAACAGTATTTTTTCGTGCTAAATAGTTTTGGAAAACGTTTAAATACCATATGCTGCCTACAGACAAACTTAGCCAACCCTTCATTATCTGTGCGGCACAGACATCCGCGTCATTACTATTCAAGTAGCTTGAAATTGCTCCATTGTGCAGTGTCAAGCTGTAATACGGGGTATGATAATAGAGGCTATTGATGCCCTTAACATAGAGAGATTCCAAAAGACAGGTCTCTACACACATACATTGCAATTTGTACTAATCTGCTGGCAACAGTTGTAGCTAAAGAGTCAAAATTTTAAAATATTTAAACGCCACACTATTTGACACCTTTTGGCTGCTATAAAGTGATTTGACAGCAGCCTCATCTCCCCAATCCCCACTATTGCCATAATGTACCCTCAACATGGCACTCAACCTGCTTCATCAGGTGAGGCTGACAGTGGGTTTTAAAAAGTACACAAAAACTGTTGTTTCGCAAGAGATAATTTAATCACTTATTATTGTGTACTTTCAAATAGCTTATTTCAACTATTCCCTAATGAACCCTTACATTTGTCATGCGTATCCCAGAAAATATTTTTTATCATGTTTCCATGCCTCTACTATCAAAATAGTTAAATTATGCTCAAGCGGGTTTAGTTCATCAACATTGCTTAATTGTTATATTATTTTTGAATGGAAAAACTGTAAATTTAACATTGGCTCACTGACCTTACAATTTTAAATTCACTTCTCACTGCTAGTATTTTTTTAAATTCAACTTTTAGAGCATATAACAGTCAATACTCTATAACAATGAACTTGTGCAAAGCATATGTGGCCATAACAAGTATACACTTACTGTATAGTCAAAGGGAGCTATTGTGACTAATGCCATTTTCATCGCTCTCTTGAAAATAAAAAAATGTGGCTCTTGAGTCTCTAGCCACTAGATCTCAAAGTCAAAGCTCTTTTATTGTCATCATCCCTCAGGACTTTGCAAGCTTCCATGTTGATAATCGGTTTAGCTGTGTAAATGACAATACAGTTAAAATCTGAAATATGCCACTAATCTATATATTTTAAGTCAATGACTCCCAAACCTAACCGGTGACACAAAGTCAATACTTTACCAACATCTTGCTAAAATAGCAGGCACAATGGAGCCATTTTACAAATCGTCCACAAATTCTACATTTTCCAATTTACAATATACAAGCAATAAGTCACCAATGTAGGATTTAAAACAACTGCTGAAGACACAATAAGATTATATTAAACGGTTAAAAATATGTAAGTTCACTCAAACAAACGTAATATCATTTTCATTTATTTAATATCGCATTTATTTAATAAGTAACAAGATCTATTTCCTTTTGATTGCATTTTTTTTTCCAAATATGCCCCTGTGATGTTAGCAAAATGGTCAACATCTATCAATATTTGTTCCAGGACAAATATGTTTACAGTAACAGTTACATAGCTATTGAGAGTAACAAATCAAATAAGTGATTAAAACTTCAAAACATTGAGGCAACAGGAGCCAAGGGAGCATTTTTAGAAACAATCAGGCCACTTAGAGTGCAGACAATGTGTAGAGCTAACTGGGCCTCCAGTCAATAGCCAATTAACAACAACCAACAGCTGGAGAATGTTAAGGGTCAGAGCTTAGGCTGTGCGTACACTCACTAATTCTTGTGCCCCAAATAAAGGTTCCGCTGAATTAACCAAAATTTGCTTTTCTTGCATGACCCCATGTGAATGTGCAAGGTCTTGGATAAGTACGCACTGCAAAAGCGAGGCTCGGCATCACGTCAGTATTGCAATGTTCCAGAGCAATCGAGCATTACCGCTCGAATGAACTAAAGAGTTGTATTTATATCAGACATAAATTATGCGTGAAGTAAATTCTTCTCCATTGTAAAATTATGAGCATTTTCATAGAACCTTGCCTCGCTCATGTAAAGATGAAAGTGTGAATTGATTTATGACGAAAGAACATCCAACAGTCAAGGAGGCTAAAAACAACCGTAGTATTTTTTGTACAAGTGGATGTGTGAGTCATCTACTTTGTATGCCAGTTTTCTGAACTGATAAGATAGAAAACGGTGTACTGTACTATAAATACGAATTCAATCACAATGTCTGCCAACGGAAGATGTACTTAAAGCAAGGTTACAAGGAGAAATTTTAATTAGAAAGCTGATCAAAAAGACAACTCCAATACACACAACGGGGCTGCCTTTTAAAATGACAGCATCTTTTTTTTTTGGTCACCACTAACCGTACAAAAACGTTACAAGTTCACAAAGTAATCCAAAGGAGAAAAACAAAAATGTCAACATGATCCCTCTCCCAAATGACACTTTTATTGCAGCCCACACACACACACGGCACAACACAGCACACAGCACCACCAGTGGGTGGAAGCACATCACAGCAGGCGGATTTCGCTGTGTGCTTGCCGGTCTGACTCGGGTGCTTGGCTTGGGTTGGTGGTGGCGGTGGCTTGAGAGAGAGAGCGAGAGAGAAGAGGGGGGGGGAAGTTTACAAAAAAAAACCCTTCCCACGCTGCGGAGAGAGGTGGCGCAGTCTTAAGAGTTGCAGGGAAAGGAAGCAGAGAGAGAGGGGGGGGTCGGTATTCGTCACGTGGCATTGCAGCAGCCACGTCATGCGGTAATCCAATTGACCAATCAACGCGGAGATGATGGGGAGTAATTGGATGATTATGTTTTATTCATCACGTTGGGGGTGGGATTGTGAGCGGGGAAGAGAGCACGGGGGGGGGGGGGGGGGGGGGGGAAAGAGTGAAAGCAAAGCCGACGGTGTAGCACTGGGGCTTGAAGCGAGCGAGCGAGCCTGCCCGGACTGCCAGCGAGAGTGAGGAGCGCTGCCGGATTAGCGCGTCTCGTCGTCCTCCTCCTCCTCATCGTCGTCGTCTGTGCGAAAGGATCGCGGCTGCTGCTGCGGCTGCGGCTGGCCGAGCAACAACATCCCCCCTCTCACCCACCGGTCTTCCGAGATGCTGCGAGCGATTTAAGTCAACGAGCCCATGAGGATGACATAAAAGAGAGGTGCTTTGTGGTGGTGGAGGGGGGAGGAAGAAGGAAAAACCCTCCACCCATGGCTGTCTAAAAATACTTTTTCGTTGGAAAAGAGAAGGCTGATTTAGAAAGAACACGGAAAGCGGCAGTAAGGAAAAGAAAAGCCAAGAAAAACCCGGGCGCTTTCACGAAATAAGCGTTCGCGCGCGTTTGCAGTATACCTGTGGACTGTTCTATTTATTATTTTCGGGTTTTTTTCCCTCCCCCGAAGAAATGAATGAAAATGCGTCAAAGATCCTTGCTGTTGATTTTCATTTCGTCGCCGACTGCGACGAAGTGAACGCGCTGTTCGCGAACTAAAGAGGGAAAAGGTAGTGAAGGAATGAGTGTTTATAAGAAGACGACGATGAAGTGATAAAAAAAGAATTGCGCACCTCTGGGGGCATTTAAACTTAGCCCTGGGATACAAACGCGCCCACTCGCCACTCGGTAGCGCACACCACAACAACAACGACACCACCACGACGACCGCTTCGCAAACAACACTTCTCCCCGGCTGCCGGCTCTTGCTACGGGCACTCATCATCTGCGTGCTTGCGAGCGAACCGGGGTGGGTGGGTGGTGGTGGTGGTCACAGCGAGCGCACGAGGGAAGGCGGAGACCCCGCGGGCGCACGGGGGGGGGGCTGGGACGGAGATCATCGGCGGCGGCGGCAGTAGCAGCGGCAGCGGCGACAACAACGACTGCTGCTGACTGCTGCTGACGACTGCTGACTGCTGCTGCCGGGTTGCGGCTTGCTGCAGCGGTCCATCTGCGGCACCGCTCTTCTCGTACAATTGGAAGTTTAAATAACAAAAATCTCCTCCTCCCCCCCCCCCCCCCAAGTGAGATATTGGGGAGGGAGGGTGGGTGGGGGAGCAGCCCCCCCACCGGACGACGAGCAAGAGTGTGTAGGGGGGGGAGGTGATGGAAGCGAATGATTGAAAGCCCCACAGACAACAAACTCTGCCTGGGAAGAGGCTCGCGGGCCGTGCCAGGGTTCGTTTCAACCGGACAAAGGGGTGGTGGGGGGGGCAGTGAAAAGACTTTCGAGCGGCAGAAACGGCAATTGTTGTTCGTGCATCGTCGTCGAGAAAAATAAACGAGGCAACAATAACAAAAAAATCGCTGCCGCCACCGCCGCCGCCGCCTCGAATTCCGCAACGTGCCAAGTGACGGCGCAAACGAATGGAAGTCATCTCCGGAAAGGTACCGAACGCTCAAGTAGTTATTGTTTGCTTCTGTTACATCGTCTTTCTGCATTCGGTACGGCGGTAACACACGAGCGCGGGAAAATGGCTAAAACCTGATGTGTGTTCTTTTGCTGGCTGTGCTTTCTCTCTCTTCTGCCGATCTCTCTCTCTCTCTGTGTGTCCCTTCCCTCTGTGCCTTTTTTTTTTATAAACGCGAAGCTGCCGAGTGCGTTCGCCGCCCTCTCGGAGCAGCCTCCAAACGAAGGGGGAGCAGCAGCAGCAGCCGCGCGAATGAAACGCGAATTTGGAATTACGCGAGCGAGAGAGATCAACCTCGCCAGAAATACCAAGGGCTACTTAAACCCGTCGCCGCTTGAATGAGAAGGAAGAAACGCAGTAAGTTGTATTGCCAACATTTTGGTTCGTTCTTCATCTAAGAACGATTTTTCTTTTTTTTTGCGTGTAAAGTACATCCTCTGCGAATAAGAACAAACAAAAAGCGTATTGGAACAAACAAACAAAAGTACATCTATCCGAGGAATAACGTAACGGGAACATAGAAGACGTGTCAGCAAACCCCTTGTTTTGTGTGTGTGTGTGCGCGCAAGCTCATTTTGGTGAACACGGCACGGGGACCCCCCCACCACCACCACCTCCTCCGTCATTCCTCGTGATGTAGAGAGCAGAGAGAGAGCAAGGACGCGCTCCTATGAAAAGGTTCCACACGCAGCCATTTTGCTGCAAAGAAAACCGCCCTGCCGTCAAAAGATGTGGTCCGGTACGTGTTGGACTGACACAATAGCTGCCGCGTAATTTATTTGCCAAGTTTCGACGGACTGCGGCTAACAAAAAAAAAGAAATAACCCACCACATGGACCATACACATGCGGAGCAATGCATCTTTGCGGACGGCGAGTGGAAAGTTGTACAGCACTTTTCAATGCACACTGCAATGTACATAGATTTAAAAAATTATGAACGTTGTCGGCGAGCTTTTAGAATATTCTCTTGCTGCTTTAATCAGTTGCATTAATGATGACGTCAGATTTGGAGATTCCAAGGCAAATATCCGAGCTCCGGTTGCCAACGTCTATCACGCAATCTGTGACTCTGCTGTGCCTCTTTGCCATGGTCGTGACTTTATTACCGCCAGTCAAGGGGCAGACCTGTCCAGCTGTGTGCTCATGCACGCAGCAGTTCAACCGTGTCATCTGCTCCCGCAAGGGGCTGAATCAGGTGCCCAGTGGCATCTCCAACACGGCGAGGGTTCTGAACCTGCAGGAGAATAGCCTCAAGATGGTGCAAGCAGACAGCTTCAGAAATCTGCACAGGTTGGAGGTGCTGCAGTTGGCGCGCAATGCCATTCGGCAAGTGGAGGTGGGGGCTTTCAATGGGCTGACGAGCCTGACCACTCTGGAGCTTCTTGACAACAGGCTTACGGCTATTCCCAGCGGAGCCTTTGAATTCCTTTCAAAGCTGCGTGACCTGTGGCTAAGGAACAACCCCATCGAAGACATCTCGGCATATACATTCACCCGCATCCCGTCGTTGCAGCGGCTGGACCTGGGAGAGCTGACAAAGCTGCAGTTTATATCGAATGAAGCATTCGAGGGCCTCAGCAACCTGCGCTACCTGAACCTGGGCATGTGCAACCTGCGTGAAGTGCCGAAACTCTCTCCACTGGTGAGATTGGAGGAACTGGAACTCTCGGGGAACCGAATTGAGATCCTGAGGCCAGGGTCTTTCCAGGGCCTCGCCAACCTCCGCAAGCTGTGGATCATGCACTCCGAGGTTCGGCTGGTGGAGAGGAATGCGTTTGATGAGCTGCAGTCCCTGAAGGAGCTGAACTTGGCGCACAATAGCCTCATGTCTCTGCCACATGACTTGTTCAGCCCTTTACAGAAGCTGGAGCGGGTCCATCTGCACCACAACCCGTGGACGTGCGACTGCGACATTCTCTGGCTCAGCTGGTGGCTCAGGGAGAACGTACCCAACAACGCCACCTGCTGCGCACGCTGCGCCTTACCTGCGGACCGCAAGGCAATTAACCTTTGGGAGCTGGACTCCAGCAGATTTACTTGCTACCCTCCATTAATCGAGGTTCCTCCGTCAGACGTGAATATCAGCGAGGGAATGGCAGCCGAGCTGAGATGTCGAGCGCCATCATCTGCAAGTTCTGTGACGTGGATCACCCCAAACGGCACGTCAATGACGCATGGATCTTACAAAATTAGGATTTCTGTTTTGCACGACGGGACTTTGAATTTTACGAACGTTACTGTGCAAGACACGGGGATTTACACTTGTCTTGTGGCCAATTCTGTCGGCAACTCGACTGCTTCGGCAACATTGAATGTGACAGCACCGGACACGGGCACCAATGGATATACCTATTTCACCACCGTGACGGTTGAGACGAGCGAACCGACCCGCGGCGGTGCCAGGGACGGCAGGGGGTTCACGCACTCCCCGCGTTTGACCACCACGCCGTTTTCCCTGAACGGGCCGTCAGATGAGACCGCCGTGGGCACAAGGCCAGCGGCCGCCTCGGCGAGCCCCGGGGACAGCGCGTCCACGGCAGGGCTCGACGAGGTCATGAAGACCACCAAGATCATCATAGGATGCTTCGTGGCCATCACGCTCATGGCAGCCGCCATGCTGGTCATCTTCTACAAGCTGCGCAAGCAGCACCATCGGCAGGGGCGGCACATGATCCAGGCACGTGCCATCGAAATCATCAATGTGGACGAGGACGTAGGGGCCGGCGCCAGCGGGACTCTGGGAGGTCGGCACACGCAGCAGCACAACCCGCACTACCTTCACCATGCCTCGCCGCTGGGCCTGGACCTTTCGCTGGGATCGCCCAAGCAGAAAAATCACGACGGGGTCATTAACCCCACAGGGCTCTACAGCACATACAAGCCCATGTACGGCTACAGCAACCACATGGGGACTCTCAACCACACGGCGGTCAACTCATTTCACCATTCCATACATGAACCTTTACTGATACGTACAAACTCGAAAGAGAATGTTCAGGAAACGCAAATATAATTGCAGTTTGGGACTAATGTATGTACGTATGTATGCGTGAAAGGACTGCGTGGGTTTTAATTGTGCAAAAACTCATATCTTGTAAAAGATTTATTTTATTCAAAGAAATATAAGGATGTGGTCACAATGTCCTGATAAGGTGGCCTATGTAAGATTAACTGGTCAATTTGCCAATTAAACCTCTGTTTTATATAAAAGTACAGTTCTTACAAGGTAAGTTAGTTATGAAACCAGTTGTGGAGATATACATTGTTATTAGTTCATTTGGTGAAGTGATGTACGACTACTAACACAACAATATGCGTCTTTTAAACATTTAAAAAAGACAATTTGTAGCATTTGTCACATTACCAAAGTTTTATTTTTATGTTGTCAGATCATCAAGCATCTATTCCATGTGAAGTTTGCATATTTACAAATGTAATTATGAACTGATTTGTAGTAGACATGCCAATAGAATTAAATAAAAAAAAATTGATAGTTTTCAAACACTGATGACAGTCCTGTTTTAAGAGTGTTTTTACAAATGGGGAGAAAAATATTTCTTCCACGTTGATATAAACAGTATTTTACTTTACCACTTGTGATGGGTGGCGACAAAAAAAGAGCTGCATTTCAGTTCTTCATTTATTTCATTTATGTATATCTTTAGTTCCATATGTGTACTAGGTAGCATCACTAATTTGCACACTGATAGAATCTGTTTTGATTTTGGGGAATGAGCTATTTATTGTGGCTGGTGTAACTGGACACGAAAACTGACATGACAGCCCACTTTTGAATCTGGTGTCGTGTGTTCTCTATGGCATTCACGGAGGAAAACATATGACGCACTTCTTGATACTGTGCCCACGGAAAAGTATCGCAAGAAATGAGTCGAGGGCTTCTCTAATACTTCTAATGCATTGTCATAGAAAAGCCAACACAAAGCTGCATTGCATATAAAAACAAATATTTAAAAGAATAATAAAATAAGAATGTTGCAGCCCATATGCCCCTGACAGTATTTTTGTGCCGGGAACAGTTTGTGATTTACTTTGCCCATTCCTGCAAAAAGCACACAACTTACACAATATGCAGTACTGAATTTACGACCTGCTCTTTCATGGGGGAAAACAAATAACACTTTAATTTGAAGAGGTCGAATAGCAAGGGTGAGAAGGAAAAGAAAATGAAATCAATGGTTACTGCAAATGGCTATATTTTTGTTCCCCTTGTCTGGATGTAGTTATGCCATGCCACCTCGCGTCGTACGCTTGGGCAGCGGGCATCATGTTAGAATTGCGCACAACTCCTTTACGATCTTTAAAGGGATTGGTTAATGGGGCTAAAGAAATAAACACCATTGGAAAAATGAATGTAGACAGGAAGGGCATTAAGGAGCCCCTACAGGGGACAAAAGGTTGTTCCCAAAAGGTTTGTCAATCCTCTAATAGTGGACTATCGACCTTCAGAATAAGCAGACGAAAAAAGTCTTATCATTCGTTCTTGACAGACAGCTGGCCCCCTCGGGCTCACCATCATTCTAAGCGCACCGGGGTGCTCACTATTGATTTAATTATGTTCACATTCTGTGCCGTGACTTTAACTGTCATCAACACGATAATTAAGACAAGCTCTGGGTGGCGAGGCACGCCTAATGATATCACACCTAAGAGTCATTCTGCGGTGTACGGTGCTGTGACAATTTCATAAATCCTAAAGGTGAAAAAAAAACGATTCCGTAGGGTCTGAAAGTGAAGATTAACATTTCCGTGCAACAGCTGTTTGGCAGGAGAGCTAATTTTTAATAAACAAAAAAAAGGTTGACGAGGTTTGTGTAAGAAGGTGGCATTGGTGCGAGCTGCCTACCATTGGCCTTTATATTTTCGCAAAGTGGAGCCTTCGCAATTGCAGCGAATACCGCTTCTCTTTTTGAGCAGGAGCAAAGGCCGCGTGTCAGAAGGCTGCCCACGCCACCCACCCAGTCTTTACAGACGTCGCGCGCTTTCACTTAGAGGCTCGTTGCAACAAAAGCGATTTTTTTTCTCTCTGTCTTGGTCTGCTTGCTTTCAATTTAGTATGACTAGGTATACGCAATGATGTGGCGTCACGGACTTCTGGTAAAATTATTTAAAGATGTAGATGTCCCAATAACGTTATTTATTTAATTGTTTTGTCTCCCTGCACTGGTCTAAAAAAAGGGAAAATTATTGAATTCATTTGTAAATATGTTCCAGCTAATAGGGTTTGCAAAAAAAATCAACGTAAAAAATATACATCAGAAGGAACCAATTTAGAAAACGGATACTGTTGACAATACAGTACCAAATAAGCAGCTCGAGAATTTGGAAATAAGCTCTTTTAGTTAAAATCAACTTATGAGTTTAAACCCCCAGGCAAATGTTCTTCAAAAATAATATTTTACCTTATACAAAACGCAATCACGTAATAATTAGTGGTTTGAACGTCTACACTGAACAACTAATGCATCTACAGGTTTTGAAAACATAAGAGAATAAGATGAATTTCAATGTATTTTTTTGCCCAATGCAGGGCAATGTCGTAGAACTGCCAAACAGAACTGAAACCCTTGATGTTAATGGCCATCGATATATTTCAGCTGGCATCCGTCCTGAAAACCATTGATACGAGTGTGGAAGAAGTTTAGTTACTGCGCAGTACTGTGGTGTCGTGAGAGGCTAAAAAAGTCCGATATTCACGAGTCATCACCACAGAGTGCAGGCGTAAGGTCCAGGTCCAGGGCATAAAAGCTGGTACACACGCAGCACTGGAGTTAATATATATGATACATATTTCAGAATTTAAAATGTACAACTTGAGAGACAATTTAAAATTATGTATATAAACATATGCTAATGAACCAGTATAAATTCTGTTTATTACATGTATCCCAGAATAATGAAAAGGCTGTTTTTATAAAAACAAATTCAATGACAACGATTGTTTTCTTCAGACATAAGCCTTGGTAAAAAAAATGGTTTGCCCTTTAATTAAAACCTATTTTTTGCCTAAAAGTGCCATTACAATACACATTCCTAATTCTGTTGCTATGCAAGTGAGCATGTTTGAATCGCAATTTGACATCAATAGCCCGCTGTCCTTTCGGCTCCACCAGCACACAACGTTGACTCTGCCTGCACAACAGGCCCAGCTAGTTGTTTTTTGGAATTGCATAATACTACTTGCGTGTTGGGGATTGACTTCGAATCAAATGCAACAATAATTATATAATTGGTCTTTCCAGTCTCACCTGATATGGGTGCTTTGCAGAAGAATGTGCTATTTGCGCAGCTGGTAACTCTACCCACAATACTGCGGCAAACGCCTGATGGCATAACCATAATTTTAAATGGCATGGCAGGTCCGTATTGAACGACTAAAACACCGCAATCCATTAAATATTCCACCTCAGTTGTACAAATATTAAATACTGCGACAAGATAAAAATAAAAAGTCAGGAAATCAACCAGATGAACATATATTGTCAGAATTAGGTAGGCAGCAAGCCCAGATATTCAACAGAGAATGATGGTTACATGAGCAATAAGACGTAAAGCAATGTGCATTGACATTACTACAATCTTAGAAACAGGTGCACACTAACAAATGTTTTGCCAATTTTTCACGAATCAAACATGAGCAGGACCATAAAGGTCCACCACCTAGCCTACTGATTGCCTCTACAATTTCCTCTAGCATGGGTCATTACTTCCATTTGTTTCCAGACTAGTGCATACAAAACATAAACATGCCATCGTTCATACAAAAAAAACCCCAGTACTTCAAACGCAGGTAGCTCGCTTTTCCCTAATACTTATTAACCTTGTGGTGAATAGATGGAGACGCAGCAATGCTTATTTTTTTGTGACAGACGTCTCTTGGATGCTTATTTTACTAATAATTGCTTTCAAATTCAGCACTGAGCAAGCCCCTGGTTCTTGTACGTTCCCTCAGATTATACTGCCAGATGACTCCTGGGGTAATAGTAGGGTGTAGTTTTGAAGGGCTGTAGCTCAAACATAATGACAAAGTGGCACGTTGGCACTTTACATTCAAACCAAAGATAAGCGGAACTATAATAAACACATTTTAACACTTGACGTTTCTTTTAAGCAATCTTGCTGAACGTATACTGTACTTCTTAAGGACAATTAATTGGCACATTAGGAAATTAACCAAAATGTTTGTCCCTGTTTCATTGCGGATATTGTCCGAATTCTGTGACACCAATTAGCCAATAACTGGACAGTACACTGTACTATTTAAAGGACAGCCCAAGGAGGTGTTCCATACAATCCCCTACCTCCTCCCCTCCCACCACCTCTCTTTCCCTATTCTCCTCTCCTTGCCTGAGGCATGTGTGCGTCACACAGCAGTCAAGAAACCCAGGTGCCAGCCCCCTGCGAGGCGGGAACTGCCTTGGTATACATCAATGTTCCCGATCCGTGTATTCCCCGTGTAAGGAATTGTTCTACTGCACACACCACGCTACAAACTTACTATCTGCGTAATCCATTGCTCTGCAACAAGCTCCTCACATTACCTCTCTGGTGCTCTGCAACTACAGCAGCAGCAGCACGTTAAGCCTGAAACAAAACATGGAACCGCGATGTATCTGATGTCCATCAACACCTTGGAAGACGGTCCTTGGCCTCACAGCAATGTGTCACACCCCCCCCCCCCCCCCCGTAAAAAAACTAGGAATGTTCAGCTTTGAAGGCCTCAAGTGACAGGATGTCCTACAGCGACCTACCTTGAGACACAAATTATTTTTCGCCATATGAAGTGTTGTAACGTGGGATCATAGCAAAGGATTATAAGAGGGGACCGACATCCTGTGCTGCTGACAGCAAGAGCCCAAGCTCACACTGCGAAAACAATTGAAGCCAAAACAGCTTCAGTTTTATGTGAAGGAAAAAAAATTGGGAGCTACTTGAAAGCCAGATGCTTCCAAAAATAGGAAATGGACAGCACTGGCATTTTAGTATCTTATTGCATCAGCAGGGCACTTCAATTATTTCAGTTCACATGTAGCAGAGTTGGCTAGAATAAAAACATGTGGATAAATGGATACACAGATGGTAATGGAAGGATTGATTCTCGAATGGGAACAAAGTCTAAAGTGTGGTCCTCAACTCACATTCCCACCACTTATGTCACAGGTGGAGAATATACAATCATACGGTAGAGATGTCTTCCCCTAAAGTAGTACTTATTTTAGACCCTTAATGGAATAAGGGCTGAGTCAACCTACGACTGGCATTCAACTGGCAACCTTCTGATTATAAGCCACATTATCTGACCACTCTGCCATCCAACTGGATGAAAATATGGTTGTAAATTGATTATATAAATATGAGGGCATGTACAAAGGAGACAAGCATAGGGTGAAAATGCAAAGATATGCCAAGAAATGCTGTTATTACACATCACTAATTACCAAACGTTCACACTTCAAACAAAATGTTTAGTTGAAAACATTTAATTCATACTATGAATCTATCACAATACATGCTATTTTAACAAACCATTATTTGAAAGGCCAGTGTGTGCAGAATGTCGAGAAATCATATCTATTTCCATGACCATTTAGACGCTGGCCTAAGTCATATATTCCCAATGGTAAGTGCAGCAGTCTTGCTGTGTAACATACAGTACTCAACGCACGTATACTGCACATCAGCTGGTGTGTCAGTCACACGTTTGGTTGCATGCAGGTGCAAAGGTATATACGGCTGCACAGCAAAAGCTATGGTAACATTGTTAATGCGATTACCTTACGCGTAACGCGCGATAAATTGCGATGCGACTTTTTTTTAAAATCGCACTGCATGCACCACTTTACATTACTGCCCGTCATTAATGTCCACACGTTATTGATAAAGACAGCACGAGGCGCGCCCCCCCCCCCCCCCCTGCATTTCAAAACATTTTTTATTTCTAGCTCTGGACCAAATCCTGCTGCTATTTGTATACTGCAGAGAAGGCAGAAAAGACATTTTGTACCATCAACGAAAATACAGAGTTGACAGGAAGGAAGTGGTAGAAAAACAAAGTAACCCCTGGGGCTCTATCCAAGCATGCTCTGGCTCCGGCTCATCTTTACAGTGGGGTACCTTCAATAACACCACCACAAGCCAATATGAACACTTACTGTGCACACCGTCTAGCACAGCAAAGATAATTTGCCCAATACTCGGCACGAGTTTTTAATACATGCTGTACACAAGAAAATAATGTTTCTCGTGGAAGGTGTGAAATACGCAGATATGAAACCAAATGGACGATGCCATCAAAAACCAGTGTGAATTTTTGAAATGTGAAGAGTGCTGTTATAACCATTGGGTCAGTTCATATAATGAATCAATAAAGGAAATATTTTATTTTATCAGTATCTTTGGATCAACAAAAACGGCATGCTGTGTCATTTCTTTCCAGTTTTCTAAATATTTGTATTAACAAATCAATATAATAAATATTTTGGTTCATACTCAAAAAAACTGTATATATGCTAATCCTTTAAACTTAAATTTATCGTGGCTTCATCCTTTAATGGACCCCTTTCTCCAATATTTTTTCCCCCTCAGTAAATCAATATGTTTGAAATGACCTTTCTCAGAACAAATGGTAATCCACAAGGTTTAAATAAGTGTCAAGATCCCAAAAGTGCGGGTATGCACCGCCAGCGACGGAATCCTCTGTGGTACTGTGGGGACCTTAGTGCCTGGTAGTTAACCTTGGAATGCCCTCCCTATTCATAGACCAGGTCTGAACTTATCAGCACCGACAATTCCAATATAATTGTTGTTCATCACCCCAACGGCATCTGGGAAATGTCATGGATCAGGTAACAATGCCTCTGCAATTATGAAAAACACATTAATGTCTGAAAATAGTGATTAAAAGGCTGCATTAGCCGAAACAAATTTAATGGTTCGAAGCTTTGATTCAAGGTGTAAGTATCGTCTGAAAAATGTGAGGATTTATTTTCTAATTTTAACTTTTATTTATAATTAAAGGAAAAAATACGCCGTGTGAGATTAATAAAACACAAACTATGAATTATTATATGAACAAACAATACGGTGACATTGTATAGCCTCAGATGCCAAAATTAACGTGCTACCAAGCATATACAAAGCAAGTATTAAAACAGCCTAATTAAATTGAGCATATCTTCTGTTAAGCTGCTCTGTTGAACATGATACAAGGTGCACAAAACGGAGCATGGGCTGGGGTGGGGGGGAATGACAAAGAAAGAAGAGGACACAGCCAGAAGCAGCAGCGCAGAAAGGACAAGAAAACTGCCGAGCTCTGACAGGCCAAATTAGTGCAGTCTTCCTCACATGGCACTATGCCACAGACAGCTTCCCCGCTGCACACTGCCTGCAAGTCACCCACATGGGGCCTTGTAAGCCAAGACTGGCCAATAGAGTCCAAGCTACAAATCAGCCTAGATTGGATGGCCATTTATTGGCAAGGCACATTGTAGAATTACCGTGGAAGCTCCTTTGCAGCTTTTAGCAATAGACAGAATGCCAGAAAAGCAAATTACTGGAAGTACTATAACTGCTCACAAGTGCCAAAGAACTCTAACGTCAGCAAATGATTTACAACTATTCAAGTCTAGCGGATTGCCAATTTGATGTTAGATTGTTTTTTTTTATATAAATGGACAAACTGTGCAGCTTTAATACCAAGCAATGTATTGGAATAATGTTTGAAGCGTTCAACTGTTGCAGGTAGATGTGATTCATATTCTCTGGAGCTTCACTTCTTTGTTAATTGCCACACTTGCTGTGTATTGAGACTACAGTTTCCATTGGTTTTACTGCCTCCCTCTGTGCAAGCTTCGCAAGTATTCCCTCACCAGTCTAACATGTTGGGAAGAAGGTTTTCCTTTTCAGATTCCCCAGTGTCTACTTAATCAGCGTAGATAACTGAGCATATGTCCAAGATATTTATTTGTGCCCAATGAGAAAAGGACCCAAGTATTCCCACAAGATATTACTCATTCCATTTGTTTCTATGCGTTATATACGATATTGCACATAAGCCTCATCGTGTCTCAAAACTTTTCAGGAGGATTATGCAAAGGTTTTTTGCAGTGGGAAATTATTGCTTTTGTAACCCAGTTAAGTTATTTGTTTCCCAATTCAAGTAATTCGAATATTTTTTGTGGACCATGACGCCGGCACAATGATTACTCTTTTTCGAATTATATCACGGGCTCTTGAACGTCAACTGCGGCCAACCTGCAGTATTAACCAGGGTGGCCAACCAGACTCATAAACCACAACTTGCTGAATGAGCGGGGAATGCACTACATCCGAACCATGTCACCGCCCCAAGACAATACACCTCTCCTTAAAAAAAGTGATTACATCGTTAAAATTGCTGATATTTAACCCTGGTTCATTGTGGTCGACAAATAGCTCCACTTTTTTACGTCAACAAAATTAAGAGCATTACTAGCATCTCACATTCTGTTCTGTAAACTCCAACATGTTTACGCAGTACAGTACAACAATGGTGCATCCATGTCTCTGGGGACTTGTGTGGTCAGATGTGTGAATATCTGGATACAATTTAATTACACCGTGCACAAATAGGTATTGAGACAAAAACTAAGCACAAGCTGCTTTAAACATACTTTAGTGTACTTTATAAGTAAGCAAATATATGTGAAATTAAGAACACCTTACACATTTGTGAAAAGGTTCGATTGTAAACACCTTTAGGAAAATGAAAGTTACACCACGCACATACTTCATACGCTGGGTGCGGGCAGTTAATTGGGCACTGGGTGATGGTTGGATGTGCGACGCTGTACTTAGATAAACGTAATATTTAACATTGCATCAAAGTTTCACACTTAAATGCACATACATACATTCACAAGCTTTATTTATACCCAGGTCAGAGCCCATTGCGGTAAAAAGTCTATTTTGCAAGATGGACGTAGTATATGATGCCCTCTGGATACATGCATGGAAGTGATTTAAGTGTATTCACTCGGGGAAGTAGGACAGTCTCCCGCTGGAAAAAGTCTAGTCGCTCAGACACGCCCCATCCCTAGCCCTTGACCCCACAACTGACAAACGGGGAGATTTTAAGTGCTGCGTTTGCCACCGCTAAGATTGTGGATTACATTACGTAACCCTACAGAATCCCCACATGATGGAATTCTCTGCCAAATAAATCTGCACTGACAGTTGGGCATGATAAAGCTTGGACGGGTGTTAGTATATGGTGCTTTTATGCACTTTTTCTCATATATCTGAAAGAATAAACAAATAAACTCACTGCACTGAAGCTAATAATGGATTCTGATGCAACATTTTTCAAACAATCTATTTTTCCACAAAGTTGCGGAATACTCTGCCCTCCCTAGGTAATTTATGTCTCATGTATTCCCCCTGGCGGCCTTGCAACCTATGAAATATGGGCCTTCCCCGTCTTTCAGCCTGTCCATTTACTTGCTATATGTACAGACACCCACATCAACAGCTGCCCATTTTCGAGTCCATGTCCCTATTGTTAAGTTAATTTGAAATCCACCTTTCCCAGGTCTTGTGAGGGTAATGAAGTGTTCTGAAAATAACGAACCAAGCCCCCAATTTGTGCTGCAGTGGACCTGAATTTACAGCGATGGGACTTTACGGTAGCAAAAAATAAAGCACA